TGCTTCCCTACCGACGTCCCCTCCACAGGGTTGTAATAAGCGGAAATAGCAGCGACATACACTTTATAGCCAGGCTCCCAGATACCGTGCAAGCGGGACCAGAAGAACCACCGACGTACTCGCAGTGGGGCAGCGAGGTGGAACGCAGGGACGCGGCTCGTGGGCAAACCGAAGCGGGGTCTGATTGTGCAGTGCAACACTTACCTGGTTCTACAGTTGGGCAGAGGGTGCATGAGTAGGACCTTTGACGATGCTCTCGAACCACCCGCTGCTGCCCGCTGGCGACAGAGGAGGATGAGTGTGCTCCGGGTTTGGCCCGTCCACAACTCTCCGTGCCCTCTTGGGACCCAGAGATAGAATAAACTGCTCTTTTGGTGTAGTTTTTGGGAAAAAACAAAACAAAGGATTCTCCACCCGGTCCTCCTCCGGAGGAGGGAGTGGTGCGTTCACCATCTCCTGAAGAGCAGCTCTCTCCACCTCTGGGTCGCCCATCTCAGGGCCTCTTGCTCTTCTGCTTACCGCCCGGCTCCATGGCACTGCTTGGCTGGAGGCTGCTGTGGATGCGGCACGGTGGTGGATGCAGGGGGCCGCCCTCATCAACGAGCAGGCTGAGGGGCTGCGGCCGGCGAACGGGTGGAGGCAGCAGCTGTCCGCCAGGGCAGGATGTGACGAATCACCTCACCTCACTGCTGGGCAAGGTTCTCGACTGCGTCACCGAAGAGGCCAGTCTGGGACACAGGCGCATTGAGGAACAGAACTTGTCGGCGTCCCTCATGTCGGCCAGACACAGCCAGAGATGGCACTACTGGACCATCGTGCAGGTCCCTCAGTGCCTTGGCCTGCAGTAATGCCATAGCATGTAAGCATAGGCACTGCCAGTCAGACCAGACAAGGCCCGGGAGGGGAGGCACGGTTTGCCCCGCCAGGTGGAGGCGGTATTAGGATACAACTGCATCGCTACCGACTGCTCCACCGGGGAACTCCCCTATACCTCTTAGCTGCCCCACCGTCGAGGGTGGTGAGGGAGGAGGAGCTAGCAGGCCAGTTTCTGGCAGTAAAAGAATGGCACCAGGGTGGGGCGCTGAGAACCAGCTCGAGCCACCCGAGAAACCAATCATCCAACCATGAGGGCTCATGACATGGTGGAGGTTTCCACTTGAGTCCTACCCTCTCGGCGGCCCGGGCAAGCATAGCCGTCATCTCTGGATACGATTCAGGCATTGCCACTGTCCCAGAAGGTGGCAGCGCAGCCGAAGAGCCCTACAGAGTAGCTGCTCTCCTCCCCAGAGTGCTACAGCTCTCCCTCTGATGCAGTGATTGACATCCGATCGTCGCCGATCACCCAGCACGTTCCTTCGGCAGCTCAACTGGCTGCGGAGTGCTCGAGGAGCGATGGTCCCTCGGGTTGGTTCCCCGGAGGGTTGGCCACCACTGTAACCCTCAGACTGCCCGTGCTACTGCCTGAAGTAGTCCTCCCCTGACTTCTGCTAAGAAGGGAACTGGATTGAGGCAGAGGCACCGGAACTCCACCCCTTTTGAGGAAACTGAGCCTGGTCCGCAACTCAGAGATGGCCATGTTCCCGCAATGAGAACATGACTCATTCACAAGCACAACCTCAGCGTGCTTAATACCCAGGCACGTGGGGCAGCGATCGTGACCATCACCCGGTGCCAGGTAACGACTGCTTCTGTCAGAAAGACTCAGAGAGAAGGTAAACGTTTACATAGTATTTATTCCGTAAAGTGTTAACAGATGGTGTTGAATCACAATAATTCATGTATAGTTGTATAAAAATTCTTTGGTGTAGGCACCATCCTTTACAGTGCTTAAATACTCCAGATGTCAAGCAGTGGTTGGCCAGACCTGTTAGTATGAATGAATTATGTGGCATTGGAGTCTTCCTGACAGAACTTGCGCTGATGCTTTCACATCCAGAACGGCATCTATACCAAGACGCAACGTTGTCTTTAACGAAAGATATCGCTTGGCTCCGAAGCAAAAAGCTGAGTATGCGTTGCACTTGCTGCCTATTTATATTCGCGCTGCGATCAGCGGCAACTGGATGCAATCACGTAACGTTGAGAGTGACTGACTGAAAGGGAACTACGAGCATGCAATGTCGTGGTTGTCATCAGTTAAGTCATGAAATTAACAAAAAATGGCGATTAAAGCTGCCTTATAACTGTACATGCATGTAAGTATTTGTTATATACGAGTCACATTTAAGAACATGTCTCTGAAATGGTTTTCAAAGCTGTCCTGGAGCACCCCAGCACTGTCTCCCTCATCTAACCCGATTCAACACATCAGCTCATTAGTAGAGACTTTAAGACCTGAAGCATGCCAGAAAAGGTAAAGAGATGTGAGAAAATACGATGCGTGTCAGATCCGCGTCACGTTCAGCAGCGGCAGCTCTTAAAGAAATATAAGCCAAAACAACCTAATAACCAGCTGCTGTGATGTCTGTTCATCAAGAATAAAAGAAAAAAGAGGAAATCAATAACTTTTGTAGCTTTAAGGATTTATCTACAGTATATTTAATTTAAAATTTAGTGTTTGATAACTTTATTCAATTTCTGTATATTTCCTACTTGCTGAAGTAGCTAAATATGACTTTTATTATAATGGGTTTATGTGAAGATTGTTTTAAGTTCACTTAAATTTGAAGTTATTATTTTTTTAAATGTTGAAATTTATAGCTCTCAATCAATGTTCCCTCTAATTTTTGTTCTTGCTAAGCAAAACTTTTCTCTATTGGGCGGACATTTCGGGCACCTGAGCAAAAACATTCTTTATACCCTGTACAGTGCACACACAAAAAAAGTGTGTAACTTTTAACTTTAATGTGCTGTTTATATTTGATTTGACCCCTGATATAAATAAATGATGTACATTTTAGGTTACCTGAGAAAACATTTTTACAGTATAATACACTGCTGTTCAAAAGTTTGGGATCAGTAAAGTTTTTTAAAGAAGTTTCTTATGCTCATCAAGGCTGTATCTATTTGATTAAAAAAATACTGACTATTATGTCACAAAATAATATTGTGAAATATTATTGCAATTTAAAATAAAAATGTTCTATTTTAATATACTTTAAAATATAATTTATTCCTGTGGAGCAAAGCTGAATTTTCAGCATCATTACTCCTGTCTTCAGTGTCACATGATCCTTCACAAATCATTCTCATATGCTGATTTTTAATGAACGTCGGAAACTGTTGTACTGCTTAATATTTTTTGGACCTGTGATATTTTTGATAAATAAAAAGTTAAAAAGAACAGTGTTTATTTAAAATAGAAATTTTGTGTTACAATATACACTACTATTCAAAAGT